TAATTGATTAGAGCTAGTGCTTGCCCCATACAAGAGAAACTCATCCACTTTGTAGAAGCAATGATTAAGTAGGTAAGTTTTCAAAGCACTTCTGAACTTGAATAGTACTGGTATCTCTTTAATATGTAGTGGTAAATGATTTAGCAGTCGAATTCCTACATTGTTAAAGTTGTTCTTGTATAGACTTGTATTACATGGGACGATGTGTAAGTCGTCTTTTTTCCTTGTATTGTATGAGTGTAATCCTGAGTTGGTTGTGAAATCATTTAAATTGGATTTTATGTATATTAAAATTTCGTATATATACAAAGATGGTAAAGGTAATATATGTAATGATTTGAAAATTTGTTTACAACTAGTTGTTTTTGGGACCTGGGTCATAGCTCTTATAGCTCTCTTTTGTAATTTAAATATCAATTTTGCTTTTACTGAGTTACCCCAAAATATCAGTCCATATGATAGCAAAGATTGGAAATAAGCAAAATATAACGTGCGGACAGTCTCTAATCCAGTCACTCTTCTGACTACTCTTAGGCCAAAACATATTTTACATAAATTGTTTGCTAACTTTTGCGTATGTATAGTCCATCTCAGATGCTTATCTAGCCAGACTCCCAGAAATTTTGAGTGATCTGTGTAATTGATGACAGTGTCATAAATCTTTATTGAAGGGCATTCGAGTTGTAGTTGTATATGTGATGGTATTTGGAAGTTGGCAGTTGTAATCGTAATATATGTAATGTTCAGATTAAGACTAGACACAAATGCAACTCATGACAAAAGAGGACTTGAGTACAGAGCTGAGGTAAGCTGTTCCCTGTTTAAACAAAAAGTCTGGAAGTATCAAGAAGTATCTACCATCTTTGTACATATACGAAACTCTAATATACATAAAATCCAATTTGAATGATTTCACAACCAACTCAGGATTACACTCATACAACACAAGGAAAAAGATGACTTGCACATCGTCCCATGTAATACAAGTCTATGCAGGAACAACTTTAACAATGTAGGACTTCGACTGCTAAATCATCTGCTACGATATATTAAAGAAATACCAGTACTATATAAGTTCAAAAGCGCTTTGAAAACTTACCTACTTGATCATTGTTTTTATAAAGTGGATGAGTTTCTCTCATGTGAAACAAACACTAATCAATTATAATCACATAATTCATGAATAATCAGTTTTGGGAATCCCTACTGCGCAGTTTTCCTTTCTTTCTTCCAGCAACCAAGATAACACAGTCTGAGATATACTGTCACATGCTATGGCAAAGGGTATCAACCTGCATTAATTATGAAGCATGATGATATATATATATATATAGGTGACAATATAAAATAATATAAATGGAAATGAATGAGGTAACTACATAAAAACTTTTTTCAAATGCAGTTCTGTAGTCTATTAATCTCACAGAAACTCCTTAGCCCTTGAGAGAAGCTCCACTTGGCAAAAGACCTCTTCCATAGCCCAACATTTATTCTACACTATTACGTTAAAAAACACACAAATATATCAACAATTATCCAATGAGAAAGTCCTCTTACAAATCACTGCTTCCTTACCATCCCTGTGACTGGTGGCAAGACGCCACTGGCCATTCAGAAAAACTGACTTAAGACAATTATAAAAGTCGTTAAAATAAATTGTAGAATAGATGAACTTCAGAAACAAGAATTCGAGTATTTTGTATACCATTTCATGAAATATATAAGCATTAATCTGCCATTATTTTTATTACGCCTAAAGTAAAAAATTGTAACTATTGTAATTTTAATCTACTTATATATCAAATTGTTAATATTCAGAATTAACTTGACTTGTCATATATCATGTACAATGATCTATAGTGACGAAATAAATCAATCAATCAATCATTCAATCAATCAATTTATAATTTGCGCTACTTTCGAATATAAAATGTACACAGAACATATAAACGTTGACAGAAAAGCAAAAAATAAACAGAATACATTAACCATCGTTGTGCCTTTAAGAACTGTTGTACTGCACCTTCTTTATTTAACCACAAAGTCCTACACCTTGGAAAATGTCATGACGTGATTTATAGTCTCAACAAATACGACGAAAATATTAATTTAGCGTTTTATAACAAATACTGAAAATACTTCCATACCTTTATTGCAACAGAATGGAGAAGTAATACTACCGACACGCTGATGAATATCGTATGCATCATTTTCCTTTGAATCTTTAAGAAAAGTTCATACAACACGCATATCAATTTGGCCTATGCTAATTTACATCACATGAATCTATCAACATATCACACTCCAACTCAAGAACCTCAAGAATAGTCATACACCGTCATACACAGTCATACACGTCATACACTGTCATACACCGTCAACAATTTACACTGACATCACACGGACCTCTCACCAACTACTGATTACCTTCATGGATCACCAAATAAACAATTGTAATATTTGAGGTTTTCACGGCGGTGACTATGAAGTAAGCAGTCTCCTGGGATGTGGCACCGTGTAGATGTGGTGTTAACCGACGTTTCGGAGAAACTTATCGCCTCCATCTTCAGAGCATAAGGAAAAATAAGAAATCCGCAAGCGAAGAGCCGTGAGAACCGGTACAAGCAGACTGCCTGCGTTATAGAACATCTAATACTAGGAAACCACGCGGCAACGCAATTGTGAGATGAGAGGCATGCTCTGTTCCCTGGAAATTGAGTTCCTCAGTCTCTCCGCGAGTTTCGTTGCCGTGTCCTCAATTTTCGCTCTTCCTGTCACTAACATGTGTTGAACTCAGGCTGATAACAATTCTCGGAAATCGCGGTTGCGTTGCGGTTACAAGTTTCCTTGGTGTGACCTCGGCCATAATCAAGGCTAAGTGCACTGTGAATCTCTTTTCTTGTTGGTAGTTACTATAGGATTCTGACGATGGTGTATAACACACTGATATGTTAGGATTTTGGACTTTATCCATCGTCCTGGTTTTTAAGATAAATAAAAACACGACGTTTCGGAAACTGGATCTGTTTCCGTCCTCAGGTGAAGGAAAAAGGAAAACACCTATTCAGTTGGGTCCCTTAGAAAGAGCTAGCCTCAATCTGACCCAACTGAGTAGGTGTTTTCCTTTTTCCTTCACCTGAGGACGGAAACAGATCCAGTTTCCGAAACGTCGTGTTTCGTCCAGTGATTGAGGCTAGCTCTTTCTAAGGGACCCAACTGAATAGGTGTTTTCCTTTTTCCTTCACCTGAGGACGGAAACAGATCCAGTTTCCGAAACGTCGTGTTTTTATTTATCTTAAAAACCAGGACGATGGATAAAGTCCAAAATCCTAACATATCAGTGTCTTTTCTTGTTGTTTCATAGTTGACTTTATACACAATTGTTAATATGTCTTCCTTTTTTATTTTGTTACTAATGCCTGTAGTTATATTAAAGACTGTGCGTTTAAATGTTTAATATTTGTACAGTGTAGCAGCAAGTTTCAAGTTACGGTAGCCGTACGTCTGAAGCGTCTGAAGACAGCACATTGTCACAGCCCGTTTTCACGATTTATCTTGGCATCTAAGTATTTCAATTGTGGGAAATTCTGCGCGTGATAAAACAACCTTCTCTGTTCTAAAATAATTAGTAAATTTATTATGCAACAATGAAAGTTTTAAATAGTCTTATTTCCATTTAATACAAATCTCTACCAATCGAATTCACCTTTCTGTAATTGATCCTTGCGTACCTCGGCTGTGCTTGTCGTGATACGTGGGTTAGATTGTGCGCCGGATTGTAAGCATATGACCTGTGCGTGAGGTTATGTTGTGGTGATTGCAGTTTCATGTTTTGGATGTGTTACTATTATAATTTATATGGATTCCGTATGCATAGAAGTTGAACCGAATCGGAATGCTGAAGCATATCGCAATTATCAGCCCGCAGCTTTACCAGCACAAGTTGAAAAGTATTTAGATGTGATGGAAATATGTGAAGGTAAGAAATATTTTTTGTAGTGACATCTTCATGGAGTAATACTTTCCCGAAAAGTTGTGCCCGTTTTAAATTATTAGCTGTAGTGATAGTATTAGTGATTAATATTATTACAAGTATGTTTATGGACATTGCCAGTCTTCTGTTTTTATCTACGTTTATTTATTTATTTACTTAATATCCATGGATCATTATACATGATATGGGACAAGTCAACACCATCCTGTTTTTTATTTAAAAACAACGTTTCGGACAGTGGATTCTGTCTCCGAAACGTGTTTGTAAACAAAAAACAGAACGATTGATAACGGCCAGGAACATAATATTTGTATTAATGCACCATCTTCACAAACTTTTAGATCATAATTAATATTATTTTCGTGATTGATGTAAGTATAGTTCATACAGATTGTACAGCTGCATTTATGACTTATCCCCCCCCCCTCCCATATTCGCAACTCCAGTCAAACCGAAAGTTAAAGGAGGTTCTCACTGCTGCCACGATGTTTTAGATTCCACAAGAAAGTGTACCTGTACAAAAGTTGCATGTTTTTCAAATATCTGATACCTTCGTTTCATTACCCTGTGTTAATAGATAATATCATTCAGCCATGTTTTTTCTCCGAACTGTAGGAAACCGAAAAATGTGTGGTTAATGTAGCTACCAACAGCATATTGTCCATATTAAATTAAAATTTGTCCTGCATAAGTCAACCATAGGAGAACAAAACATAAGGCTGTGTCATTGCAAGTTGCTAGAGGATGCTGTACCCCGACCAACAAATTGAGCCCTGTCTCCTGCCTATCCTTGGCAGTAACCAGCCACTTCCACAAACTCCAACTCCTGTCATCAAGGTGGAGACTGTGTATTTCTTCAAAATGTTGGTGTGCATTTACAAGGCCGCACTGTGTGATAACCCAGAAAACTGCAGTATGAGTCTTCATCACATCTCAGAACTTGTTTTAAATGCTCTGATCCAGAGTAATACATTTAAAATTATATATTGTAGTGACAGCTTTTTATGGACTTCAAAACTCAAATTCTTGATTGTTGTGAGACAGTATCTCTGGTATTTCTGCAATGATCCTGTTGTGTTTTGAGCCCACAAAAACAGTTTTTAATCTCTGGCCATAATATGCAAGACTGCAGTGGTTCATGTAATTCAGGGAGGAAGTATGTAATTTCCACAGTTGCTGTATTGTTGTGTTTCCGTATTGCAATGTCACCATGAGCTATGTTCTTGTTTTGATAGGTTCGTGAAATATGGGGACCTTCTCTAGGATAATAATAGGGATCTTGAAAGTTTGCGTAGCCAATATTTTGGTGGGTCACTAGGTACTGTAGCTGTAGGGTTGCTTCTAATGGTGCATCCCTTGTACTGCATGTTATTGTTATCACTGACTTAGAGTTATGCTGTGCATACTTCTAAAATGGAAAGGCATCTCCATGCATATCATTTAATACATCACATCATCCATCTTCCATGACTTAGTTGGGCTACAAACATGGACAGAAGAGACAAAAGCAGTTCTTAGCCTTTCACATTTGGTAATAGGATGAGATTTCAGTGTTTGAGATTCAAGTCTGAAGGATCGAAAACTAATGTCATCTTGATATGTCTCATGATATTGACTGTGAAATCTTCCATCTTCAGGGTATTAGTTCCTTCAGAGCATGTGTACATATCTGCCAGACTGTATGACACCATCTCAGAGAAAACAGTAATCTTTATGACAATTCCAATGTGAAAATGTATGGGGGATAGATATGACTTTAGATTTAGTTCAGGGTTTTGCTATTATAGTTTATGAAGAATTATGTGGTAAAATGATGAAGCTGTAATAATGTTTGTAAAACTTGAAGTAGGCATCATATGAGTAGTGCCAAGGAAGGATATATTATGGACTGTGGGAGGAGGGGAAATGGGAAACCTGCCAGTATTTGTTAAAGTTTCCTCAAAATTATTAGGAATTGTGATGCTAATATATAAGCTTTCTTTCCTTTCAGAATAGGGAGGATGGTGAGATAAATGTTAACAGTTTATCATGATTTAAAGAGAACTGTCATGTGGGATGTGACACCTTGTAGTCTGGGAGAAGTTCACCAGTGTTTGAGAGGAGCATGCAGTCTCCATCTTAAACACAACCGAGCAACTATCAAGAAGCAAACAGTGCTACTTGGCACCACATCGTACAGGATAGTACTCTTCATAGTCACCATTCTGAGAACCCCAAATCCATTTTCTGGCTATAAATCTGTTGAAAGTAACAGTGTGAACACAAAGTGTATGTTCTTACATGTGTCTGCTCTTTTGTTAAAACATATTGATCTGGCCAGATTAATTTCATTGTGTTCTGTAGATGGTTACATGTTGCTTGGCTGCTCTAATTTGACTGGACGCTTTTGGACTGGTTCTTTGTGGTACTTTCTTGATCCTGACTCTGCACCAGATGTAGAAAAATGTCTCACAGGCATTGAATGTGAGACAGGTATCACCGATGGCAAATTCCTTGAAGACAACAACAAGGTAGACTTGAAGTGTGGGTGAGGAAATAAGTTTAGTGTAATCCAGGCAAAAGCAGGGAAAACCATATTTTGATTAACACTTTAATTGCCAAGAATAGCAACATTACTCCTGGCAAATGAGTCTGATTGTTTTAAGACGTTTTTCTTTTGGTTTAATTATTACTTTCATAGGAATGAGTCATTCCTTAATACTGTAACCAGCCAGGTTGCTAAACACAGCAGCAGCAGATTGTATTATGTATAACTACCTCATCCCATAAGCCACTGTGACATAACTTCACCACTACTCCACCATATGTTTTAAAACATGAAACACTCATCAGAACTGCAAAAATACCATGTCGCAGCAGCAATACAAAATCTTTCATCCATTCAATATAACACACCTGTCACACCCCACATCTCTCAAACATATGCTGTTTCAGCAATGTATAGAAGAACTCATTCTTGTTAGAAAACTGTGTACACACAACACAAATAGTGAACCTACAACCAGCAACATAACAGGTACCTCCCCGCAAACAAATACAACATTCCACACAATTGCCATTTTCCATGTTTACACATTTTACATATTTGTTATTTTATATTTGACAATAATTTATAGTATAGTTATATTCATACAAACGCATATAGGATATTGATGGGAAAGCCAGAAGGAAAGAGACCACTGGGAAGATGAAGGCATAGGTGAGTGGACAGTATTAAAATGGATCTTAGAGAGATAGAATGGGATGGTATGGATTAGTTTGGACTGGTGGAGGGCTCTTGTGTACATGTTAATGAACCTTTGGATTCCATAAAATGCTGGAAAGTTCTTGAGTAACTGCACAACTGATAGGTTCTCAAGAAGGGCTCAGCTCCATGAGTGAGTGATATTTGTACAAACTGTTAAAAAAATTATGGCTTGTGGAAGGTGGGTCAATTTAACCATACAGTTCTGCAGTAGTGTGTTATATTTAATTATTTATTTATTCATACACACATGATGACAGTCTACAGACTGAAACATATAGTGTGATAGTTATAATTAGGGCCCGGATTTTTATGACCTAAAAACTATAAATATATGCATGCACTTATGACCCAAAATTATGTCAAATATGACCTAAAAAGTGTAAAATATGACCTTAAATATTAAATGGGACATAAAATTTCACAATTTTAATTAAAGATAACAATAAAATAATTAAGAATAAAATTAAGAATAAAGATGATGAATATATGATAGTAGGTCCTACTTACCAAATTAGCCCTATTATGTCTCTGAAGGAAAGAAAACTGATGGAATTTCGACATTTCGTACTGGATTAAACCATTCATTGCTTTCTTTTTAATACTGATATTTGCGTTCATATTTTAGACAAACACTGGTG